CCCAAAAAAAAGACCGATCCCGGAACGCCTGGAAAGGAGGCTACCTGATTTGAGTAGCCATTAATAATGCATGAATAAACAAAGCATGAAACAAACATTTAAAAGCACCAACCATTGTGTACATGTAACATCAAGGCTCTAATACTAATAGTGTATAAAAAGTAAAATTAACAAGGGAAATCGTAGATTTCAAACCTTCCGGGTTTTTTTTCTATTGGTTTAGGTTATTTGTTTGTGTGTAGTATGAAAGTTATGTGCGTAATATGTTTGTATGCCGGTTTGATGGCTACTGACGGTTGGTTCGGTATGGACTGTTGATTAACGTGTCTCAGTCTGACAGCCTGCACCGTCACCCGCGCCATTACCCCCGCCGTCATCCCGCGCCGTCATTGCTGCGCCGTCACCCAAAATTTTTATCTGAACCAGACACCCCTCTGTTTGACCCCTTTTGAATGCTAAGACCCAAAACTGCAACCTCCCCATTCCTTAACAACATGGTAAATTCCATTTTCAGCATAACGGGGGTGTCCGGAGCACTTAAAAACTTTTATTTCGACGCCCATAAACACATATGCAATTAAACAAAAACGTTCTGCATCATCTGCAGCCCAATAGCAATACGTATACCGAACAACAGACCAATCCGTCCAGCCGATCGCGAGAAACAGCTGCTGACAGAAATGTTTCGAAGGATATCTCCTTCCCCGGAGGTAATAATATACATGATGTAATCAACTTATCAAGCAGACATAACAGTAAATTAAACCTGAATGACCTAGCGGTCGAACTGGGCCGGCTGGAAATTTGATCGCAGTGACCTAGCTAGCGTTTGTTGCGGGTCAGGAAAAGAAAAACAACAGTAACTTACTATTTTATGTTTCAACACCAAAATCGTTCAAAATAATTTAAAGTTTGCAACATTCTTGTCTTTTAAAAATATAATCCCCAAGAAGGGTTTTACAAATTATGCAGGATGGTGTAACGTTAAGTTACAGGGCTCGAAATACTGCAGCATACATACTGGTGTAGGTATCATTGAAAATTACCCATGGTATATAAAACACTGTCTGGCATACTGTATGGTCTACCAAAGTATTTTACGTGGAAGACTGCTAGATTTTCTACTAGAGCAACGAGAAATTATTTGATTTTGAAATCGTAGACGCTGGGCGTATTGCGTTACGTGCCTCATGTTTTGTTGTGAACTTTGCACACTGTCCCGTGACCAAAACACAAGGAGGAGCCAGAAACAAAACTCGTCCTTACCGACGGCTCCCGGCTTGAATTGCAGAGCATTTCCCACCAGAGGATAGGCAGGAGGTCCTGGAATCTTGTTGATGATTTTCCAGAGTTTCCACCAGCGGGCGAAGGCTAGAATCGCCCAGATCGTGACAGAAACTGCGACCGCCACGGCAGCAGTCCACAGAACGGCCGCCATCTTGGGGATGTGATGAAAGAGGGACCGTGCGGCAGCGCCACCTAGCGACTTTTGATAGAAAAGTTTCTATCAGGTCGTCTCAACGCGTATTAATACCAGGAAGTAAGGCTGGAACGCCAACGCAGTTTTCCACCAGAGCAATTTAATCAATTTTGGGTCACATTAGTACACATTGTATCTATTAGTTCATCAAAGTTGATACAAACTCGAATCCGAACCGTTTTAAAAGTGTTGGTCCACAAAGTTGTCCCGCACTATTTTTCCTCGGAAGAACTTTGGTGATCAGTCTTCATACTCGTATCCAGGGTAGTTTGCATAGACTCTAGTCTCTAAGTGACTGCTCTGGGTACGAGATTATCTGGAAACTTTGGACTTGGAGAGAAAGTTAGAGAAAGTGCGACTTCCGAAGAAAACTCTTCCAGGTAAGGCGTTTATATGGGGTTCTTAAAGACTTTTTCATGTAAGTGATAATTCTGCGAGCTCCGTAGTTTAGATTGTGGATCTGTTTTCTCCCTGGCTCCCACTATTTTATATTTATACGAAGTTTTCTACGTACACTTTCTGCCCCCCTCCCCACCTGTTGTTTTGTGTACCGTTATGTGGGAGGTTTTCTTAATTTTAATCGAACAAAAATGTTGGTTACTTGGATACACCAAGGAGGTTATAGGGGAGATACACATATTTAAGTAGAAAAGAATTTATGTATCCACGCAAATTATGCAGGGGAACAGATTTTTGGTGTGCAACATATGATTTTTATAAACATATAATTACAGGTTCGCGATAGCGGGAACCTGTTTTACGTTACCTCGATTTTATGGGCGCCGCCATTTTGTTTCCCGTCATGCAATGGGGCAGGCCAAAGTTGAGTGAAGTGCATTGTGGGACCTGTCACTGGGCCACAGTGTAAGGACGACGCCTAGCGGTATGTTTGGAAAGAGCAGTAACTGAAAGCCTACCTGGTTGTGTGTTCATTTTGGCAGGAGTGTATAGAGGCGATGGCTTTGGCGTAATATACGCTGATTGTGTTTAGGACTTGCAATTGAAGTTCAATGTAATTTTCTTCGCATGACGGGAAGGAAACATGGCGGACCTAAGGTTTTTTTTGATGATGAGATGATGAGGCTTTGGTATTAGTAGGGTGGTCTTGTGGATCTTGTCGGAGGCCGAAGCTAGGGACGACAGATTGTCCTCAAGTACAGGGTCAGTATGTGGGATAAATGGCATGAAGATTTGGTATTAGTAGGGTGGTCTTGTGGATCTTGTCGGAGGCCGAAGCTAGGGACGACAGATTGTCCTCAAGTGCAGTGTTAGTAAGTGGTAATGGCATGGAGTTTTGGTATTAGTAGTGTGGGTCTTGTGGATCTTGTCGAGGCGGAGCCTAGGGACGACAGATTGTCCTCAAGTGCAGTGTTAGTAAGTGGGATAAATGACATGGAGTTTTGGTATTAGTAGGGTGGTCTTGAGGATCTTGTCGAGGCGGAGCCTAGGGACGACAGATTGTCCTCAAGTACAGGGTCAGTAGGTGGGATAAGTGGCATGAAGATTTGGTATTAGTAGGGTGGTCTTGTGGATCTTGTCGGAGGCCGAAGCTAGGGACGACAGATTGTCCTCAAGTACAGGGTCAGTAGGTGGGATAAGTGGCATGAAGATTTGGTATTAGTGGAGTGGTCTTGTGGATCTTGTCGAGGCCGAGCCTAGGGACGACAGATTGTCCTCAAGTACAGGGTTAGTACGTTCAGTTGATGAGATGAAGTTGGGGGATGTGATTTTGTCCATCTGAATATTAAGCATCCTGAAACCTGTTCTGCCTAACATTCATAACATAATAGTCCTTTTTGTCTGACCTAGGACCTAACTCTAAGAAGTGACAAACTGAGGAATGACACAGAGACTTGCTTTGGTCAAGACTTTTAGACTTGACCTCTGACCTTGCAGTGGGAGACACCTGTACTAGGTCATCTATTACAGCTGTAGAGCCAGGGAACTCCTGTTGCACATGATCATTGGATATTGTACAAAAACTATGCAGATGTCCTGCTATAAATACCATACATGCCTCCCTTGTATTTAAGATATTATTATATAGCAGTGAATCATTGAACAAATCTTATATGGCCGTTGTACTCGTTAGTTTGATAACTGGATGTACTGAATAACAGCAATCAGTTTCGATTACAATATAGACTGTATCATTCTCCAGTCTCAAAGCCTGGCTACTGGAGAAGCCAAATGTAATAAAATAATTGACAATACAATTGAACTAGTTGTTGTTACAATGACTGTCGTTCTTTATGCTCAAATGTTTTGTTGTCACTGTCCTTGTACTAGGACATATGATGGATCCAGACAATCAAACAATTTGGTCAGGGGTGGTCCTCTGGCTAATGTCTTCAGACATTATGACATTTGGTATCGATCATGCAGACTCTATTGTCTTTTGCGTCCTTACACTGGACATCGAAGAGCACGTTCAGATCGGCCTCGTCGCATCGGCTGTGCCGGGAACTGCCGTCACGTCGGTCTCGGGCGGTGTGACTGGCCTCACAGCTCTCCCAGGACCGAGAATGGATGTCCCAGGGCCGGGGATGCAGACGGCGGTTGTTTCGGGGGATGAGGGTGTGTCCGGCGGTGGCTTGACGTGGACGGTCTGCTCCCTAATGCAAGGGAAGAAGAGAAAGTGCCCAGGGAAGTACATCCCGGGCCAGATGGATGGGTGGCTGACGTGTCAGGTCCATCAGTGGTCAGCTTCCCCGGATCAGGAACGCCGGGAAGAGACGGTGCCCGTTGGCCGTCCTGTGCCCCGTTATGACCATTCTTGGCCGAGGGTCGCTGCATGTACACTGAAAAAGAAGAAGACATGTGCCCCTTGAACAGTTTCAACCTGACAACCAAATACAACCACTGGCGACGTCGACATTGACCCAGAACATAGGTTGGGTCAACCTATACATGTACAGTACAGACAAACTCACACGGCCCATGCTGTCAAAACGGACAACTGTTCTCACACATAAACTCACTAGGATCACCACTGAATAAAAACAAACAACAAAGTAGCAAAACCTACGCATACAAAATAGAATAATAGATCCATCCCGGCCATCACATTAACTACCATTGTCACGACTTCAACGCGTCAACGCCGTCGAAAAAACAACAACTTTGGAACCTCTAGAGAATTAAAACAGCACCAAAATCCTCAGTTGGCCACATGTCTCTACCAATCGTTTATCGTAGTCTTCAGAGAAAAAGTCAGGGAATTTTCAGGGGTCGTTTTGTCTAAAATAATAACAGAAAAATAATCGTTTTCTCTTAAAAAAAAAAAAAATGATCGTTTTCTCTAAAAATAATAACAAAAATAATCGTTTTGAATACAACAATAACAGTAAAGTTATCATTTTCTATATAGAATAATAACAAAAATAATCGTTTCATATGAAATAATAACAGAAAAATAATCATTTTCTATAAAGAAAATTACAGAAAAATTATCGGTTTCAATAAAAAAAACGGTGTACAAACCAGGCACACTGCGCAGGCTCACTTCCTGGCCCCTGCCCACAGCTCTATCGGGACCGGGAAACGGATGTCTCAGCACCGGGGACATCGGTTGTCTCGGAGGATGAAGGCGTCCGGCGGCGGCTTGACGTGAACGATCTGTGCTCTCCAAGCAGAGGTTGGTAGGGAAGATTACAACCTGCAGAAGAAATACGAGGATGTTTGTCGGGAACGTCCAACCAATTGTATTTTAACATTAATGAAAGTCTCTCAGACAATTATGAATGACGAATCATTGGCTAAGATTACATCGCATGTCTAATTCATGTTATTTGACATATAATGTACCTGATGCAATCATTGTGCAATGAACATTTCATAGTTGACTTGAATCGGCCTGCCCAAAACAGGCTAAAACAACTGAAGATTAATTACCCCTCTGGCATGTTAGGTCATCTCCAATTTGTCACGCATTCTTTAAGTCAGGCAATTAACTCCATAGGTCAGAAAAACTGGCCCTATGTGTCAGTGTTTTGAACGTCTGAACCTAGCTGTCACTCAACCGTGCAGATGCAGGTGGCAGCTGTGTAACGTGTAACACTATATACGTGGGACTGGCGAAACATCTCCAAAGTCTCCACAACAACAACGCGGATTCAAACTTAGTAAAATAGCCAAATAGGGAGTCAATAGATTTTACAGAATGCTATGAAGTGTACATCGAAGTAAACAATAGTTGAAAGATATGTTTGTTCATTAATCAAGATGTTACAAATTCAACAACATGTTCCTCAGATCAACAGAAACGACAAATACATCGTGTGGACTTACCTCTGTTTTGGCCCTTCCGTAAAGGTCTGTTAGACCATCTCGCCGGTGAATTTGATTTTCTTCTATGAGGTGAGGGTCGTCATGGCTTAGCTGGCCTGCTGCGGGTGCAGAGATTGAGAGAGGAAAAAAACATGAATAAATTGAAGTCATTTCTTGGCGTTTAAAAGACTCAATAGAAACTCCGATTGGAGTCTCTGCCGGTACCGGTAGAAATCCCGATCGGAGTCTCAGCCATTACAATCACTAATCTTTTAGGATATGTTATCAAGTTATAGCAATAGAACTCTACCAGGTTGGAGTCTCTACCCAGCCTCAGTACTGTTATAAAGAATTAGCCTGGGTGCCAGACGCTAGCGTTCATAAAGCGATAGATTTTTTTTGTGTCCGCTACTGTATCCGCCGCCCAACCCCAGGCTGCCCCAAACCCAATATCTTTCACCGGACACGAGGAGATAATTAGAGCCAGTGTGCAAATCAGGGTCGGCGGGGCGTGTTGCTTTCCCCGGCCGAGGAATTATCGCTGACTCGCGGTAGGGGATGGCACCCAGGCTATAAAGAATTGGCCTGACGACAGACTTCAGAAACTCAGGGGCTGATCTAGGATGGAAAAAATACTGGCAAGATGTTTCTGGAATATTCAATCTGGACAGGTAAGTCTTATCAGAGGGGAGAGGATATTAGGTAAGGGCGGAAAATATTGAAGGAACATGTCAAGTGGTTAAAACTTTACGTAAACAAAATTTCGACAGCCTCTTACATTGTACATGATGGAAGATAACAGGTGCGGTAAATGAACAAGAGCAAGTGAAAAGCCATAATTACTCAGTGGCCAACAATACGTCATAAAAGGCGGGGTCAGTTATAGAATTAATAAAAAATTCTACCCAGACAATATTGCCAGGCAAAGTGCTGTTTGCAGACGAAGCAAAACACCCAGTCCGACACAGTGTGACTAAGACAACAGGCACTCAAAGATATAAAGAAACAAGCAAAAGAAAACTGTAAAAGAGTAAAAGAAACCGCAAACCACCACATTAATTACTGCGCTCTTAAATGAGGTCACCAGCATCCATGAATCATACGTAATAACCAAAGAAGCAAAGCCACATTAGCTGGGATGCGAAGAGACCTACGAGCAGACATGATCAGTATGCTGTACAGAGCGTTCTAGGATAACATAGAGGCTAGGCAAGGTTTGAGAGAGATGAGTAAATGACATTTCCAAACACACATGTGCAAAGCACAAGTATAAGAGTGGCTTCAACAAGCAAAACGCCAAGCAAAGAATGACACCAAGAGTCCGCGTCTAGCGGAAAAATTAGACGTATTAAAAGACAGGGACAACAACAACAAAGACGCTTTAATACATACAAGTGTGCTAGGTCTGAAATATGGGAGTCTTTCATTGAATCAGTACATCTAAAATTTTGCACAAATTTTGCATACTATTTCCCCCTAAAGAGCACAAAGAATGAAAAGAAAAATTGACTTACCCTGCAGCTAAGAGGAGGACTGTGTCATGGAACTGAGGAAGAACGTTAAGTTCTGCACTTGACATTGCGATCGAACAAACTTGGCTGGATGACCCAGAAGGAACCGCACGTTCCCAGCGATGTTCTTATCGGGGTTGGTGCATAGGTCGACCGACAAACTCTGGTGAATCTGTGCATCCAGGCCAGCTCTCGCTTCATGCATGAATGACGGGCGAAAGCCAAGAAAGTGCGCGTGGAGGAAGGGGGATGGGGACGGAGGGCGAGTGCAGTTGTTGCCACTTCTGTTCTAGCGCCTCCACCTCTCGCTGGAGCTCGGCCTCACAGTTTTGATGGTCTTCTTCTGTAGGTCCGCCATGGTTAGCGTAGCTGTCGGATAGACCAGGGAATCCTGCTTGTCCTTGCAGTCCTTCCCCGCCTAGCCGGCGTTGTGAACCAACAGAAGGTGACCTCAGCCGGCACATCGGCGCTGTGTCTTCGGGATGCGTGGCGTGAGAAAGCCGAAAACTGGATAACTCGTACTAGTCTAGTTGGCCGAGAGAATTCTGCCTGTCCTGCCCCTGGCAGGTTGACGTCAGACTGACACGACAGGGGCTGGAAGGCATGCTAATTACAAACTTTCATCCCCGGGGCTCCCAAATATCCACCGTGATTGGTCCGAATAGATTGAATAATTTCAAATTCACCGCAAATCTGATTGACATTTCCTTCAAGAAATCGTGCGTTAACTCGCTTCCTGCCAATTAAATGCCCATTTCTGAGGGTCCTGACATTAACCTACGGGTCAAATTTGAAAAGTTCATGAACTTTTGACAATGCTGACGGACCCTTTATTTGCTTTTAATAGGTTGTTCTAAATACTCAATAGTTTTGGTCAGCATAGCTGCAATGCAAAGACATTGACATCATGGAAGAGTCCACTAATCAAGGAGGGTTTGCGCAGTTACGTCTAGACGTGTCTGACAGGCATCGCATTGGGCTTAACCTCAGGTCGCTACGTTAGCGGTGTGATTGATAACAATTCACCTCTGTCTAATCTGAGGTCAATTAAAAGACAAGCGGCTTAGACTAAGCGCTATCACATTTCGTTTTCACCGTATGTATACTAGTATTCAACTGCTGTGGGGATTGTACATTTTACAATAGCGGGGTAGAACTTGTGCTACAAACCCACAAACTTACTTATAAGGTTTACGACAAATTCAGGGTCGATCGTCTTCATGAAATGCTTCTCAATAAGTTTTCACAAACATAATTTGCAGGGCGTTATACTGTACGGATTTCCCTCTAGACGTTCTGCTGCTTATGTACAAAGTTGCAGCTGTTTGTCCTTGAGCGCTATATGATCGCTGTTCAAGGCCGTGTTGTTGGGGATGATACAATAACGCTAGCAGGGGAGAACTGTGCTCCTGTAGAAAGGCTGGGATTTCCCGACAATAAGACTATAATAGTTTTTAAACTGGTTGTGATAACAGCCAGGAGGAGACTCCCTCCCCTGGACACAGCTAATTTTAGGAGGTTTAAAATTGATACAATCACATTATCGGTTTTTAGGCAAACAGAGGGATAGAAACCATGGTTAGAAACCAATCAAAATGTGCATATTAATAATTTTCTTTCTTCAGAAGTTTTTTTCTTCTTCTTTTTTTAAATTCAGAAAACAGTATTTTCTTGAATGTGTAGTCCTAAAGATGGGACCACTTATTTAGAGAAGTGGAATTTTGTTTTGGGGTGTGTTTTTCTTTTGATAAGGGACTTGTTTACAAGGTGAGTGGTGATTAGAAAAAGGATGAGAAGGAACCCTGCAAAAGGTAAAGCACTAAAAGTGAACTTCTGTGTTAGGAATCTTTCGAATTTAGCGTAGAGCGTAGAGAGGCTTCTTGAATTCAGCGCAATACGTAGCCGGCTCTCAGAATTTAGCGTTGTTGGGACCCCCCTTGCAGGGCCCCTTGAAAGCGCTCACACAGCAAATTTTCTTTATCTCTTCGTATTCCCGTCTTAAACAGTGAAAACGCAGTGCCACCGAATCTGTTCTGTTCTCCGTGACCTCATTTCCCTTTCCTCAGGCCAAAGTTGGCAGTCTGAGCAATTTCAAGGACACACAGCTCAGGCGGCAGCGTACCGATACTCCCTCAGGTAAACAGGAGTATGTGGCCTTGAAGCTGTGGCCTTGGTATGGCCAAATCAATGTACTGCCTTACATATGTGTGCTTGCTATAGAAATAAAAAGAAACTCTTGATTTATGTTTTTTTGATTGGATTCCAGCGAAAATAGTTACGTATTTTAAGGTGTAAGTCTATGGGACAGCGAAATTGGCGTATGAGACCTTAAATACTAGTAGCCGATTTAGCTTAATACACTACATTGCGAACCTGTCTATATTAGCAACCGCTAATATTTCTATCTAGTTATTATATAATTCATAAAACAACTCTCCCTTAGCTGCCCACCCGTGGGTTACATCTATTCTTCCAGGAGAGAGTTCAGTACATAAGAACATTATAAACAATACCATGGAAGTTCATCTGTGTTGGTGGTGAATCATAGTAAAAAGTTAAACTTTATTCCAACACACAACTGTACAGGGATCAAATTTTCAGCGACCACTGTCGCCTTCATCAGGATAATTAATGACCAATCACTTCACAACGTGATCTTGATGAAGGAGACAGTGGTCGCTGAAAATTTGATCCCTGTAAATTGTGTAATGGAATAAAGTTTAACGTTTTACTATAACATAACAATACATCACATACAATTACGTATACAATTACATAACATAGTTATTTAAAAGAAACAAATGTGCTTAGCCTTTACTTATTCATGTCCCTCATGTGCTTTAGTAGGCCTTGTTTGAACTTCTCATGTGATGACACTGTTTGCAGCCCATGTGGTAGAGAGTTCCATGCTGCAGTAGTTCTGTATATGTGAAGGCATTTTTAGTGCTGTTTGTTTTTGGTTTGTCTAGTTTGAAGGTGTTCCGAGTAGCATATCTTGTTCTGTAAGTGTGTTGATGTGACCCCAGGCACAGTTGATTGTAGAGTATGGCTGGTTGTTTGGAAGACAGGATTTTTTTAGTTGCACATGTTTTTTATGTCAAGTCTTTTATCTATAGTCTGCCAGGACAATTCCTAATGAATCTGTTTTACCCTGGTATGGTAATCACGTCCCCAGAATCAGTTGCCCTGCATTATTTTGCTTTCTGTATCTGTATCTGTATAGCCGGTATAACCGCCTTTCGGCGTAACACACCAGCTTCGCAGGCACGCGGCGCGGTGGCAGCTGGCTATCTTACACCGATCGACTTGTTACACCTAACCCTTGAACTTCTAGCTCTAGACATTGTTTAAAGCTATCTATTGACAGTGCCCCTACTGTACTTGGTGACAGTGAGTTCCACTCTGCGATAGTTCTAGGAAAGAATGAATTCTTGAACACCTCAATCCTTGGTTGATAACTCTGGTTTGAATGCGTGGCTATTTCTTGTTCTCTTCTGGGCTGGTATTAGGTTTTGTTTATAATTATAGTGCAGTAATGTTCCTTTGAGAAGTACAAGACCATACGGATGTTCAGTAGTCAAGGTGAGTGAGTCTATCAGGATTTCACTTTCAGCAATGACCGGTCCAGGTAGGCCACATTCTTTCTGATGACTCCCAAGGAGCAGGCCATTTTCTTAATATTAGTAAAAAATTTTCAATATTCAAATTAATAATTTTCTAAATATGTGAAGGTCCCATGTGAGCATATCATCTAGCATGCCTCCAAGAAGTTTCATTTCTGTATCCTGCTGGATCATACTCCCACTGTCTTGATTGTTAGAGCACATGTGTATGCCGAAGTGTCGTCTGCATACGTAGAATTAGCAGGAGAGGCTTCTGAGTCACGGCCAGTGGCAGGTCGTTTGTGTGGATAACAGACCAAGGCAGTTCCCTTGCAGAATGCCATGTAGTGTATCTCCCTGAGAGACGAGTTGGAGCCATTAAAATGCACACATTGGACACTCCCCGTTAGGTTACTATCTGGACATCCAATCTACTGCCGTTTTAGATCTAGAGAAGCCATAGCATGCTAGTTTTTGTAACGTTATAGTCCACCAGGTCAAAGACAGCAGAGAAATCCAGGAAGATGACCCCAACGATTTTCCCGGCTGGTTGATTTTACAGTACCAGTTGTCGACTACATGATGTAGTTGCAAAATAAAGTGCACTACACATTGATTGAGTGGTGTTTCCGAAAAGCATGCTGGTAGGGTGACATCAGATTGTTCTCTATGAAGTAAGCGGATATCTGGGTGCTGGCATTACCTTCTCCATTATTTTACTTAAGATAGGAAGAAGACTTATTGGTCTGTTGTTCTGTCCACAATCCATGGCCACATAATCAGGCTGTAGTTGACTTGGATATAGGCAGTGTCAAATTTAGCTTTCTTCCATATTCTGCTGGATATGTAGAGGTGGTGAGCGATAGGTTTATCATGTAGCACAGTGGTCTGGCGATTTGCTTTGCAACTAACCGTAAGTTACTAACAATTTGTTATCTATGTTGTCCAACCCAGTCGCTGTCCCATCTGATATGAATTTCAAGCCCAGATATAGACAACCTACATCACAGGTTTTCTGGCCACACCGCCTGGTGGATTAGTAGGTAGGTATCAGCCATGAATATTCATTGTTTGGGTCAACTATCACCCCAATGTGTGAGAGGCAGATAGAAACCCCAAAACTAAAATTAGTTTATTTGTCCCTTATGGCCTTAATTAAATTTTTACATAAACCTCCACGAAAATATATTGTCAAAATCAACTAGATTGCATGTAAGTGCAAAATAATTAGTGGACTGGAAGTGCATTCTGTTTAATTTCGTGGACCTTTGACACAAGACGTGGAATGTTGTCAAAACCTGCATGTGCAATATGAAGGCTAACACAAGGAATGCTGATACATTGTAAAAGAGTCTTACAAATATATTCTCTTGCCAGAAGTCCACCATGTTGCGGGTGTGTGAGAAACTCCGTGAGGCGGACGAGAAGGGCAGGAGGTACGGACTAGCCCGGGCGGAGACAGGCTACCTCCGTGCCCTGGTGGACGCCATGGCCGACACGGACAGGCTGGCGGAAGTGGAGCTGCTCAAAACTCTGGGCGACGTGAACGTGGAGAAGGGAAGACTCGGGAAAGACGTGGGGAAGTTCAACACAGCCTTGGCGCTTTATCTGGCTGCTATGGTACGGTGTTACCATGAAGAACAGGCAGATGGTATAGAACACCGCTACCACTACACGGAGAGGCTTTTACAAGGGGTGTCGTCACAGGGTAGGGAACAGTCAACTGAAGACAAGGAGACGACTACACCTGCAAAGGTAGCGGCAAAGTTCCTAGTCCTGGACATAATACGGGCTACCGGAGGTAACACGGACTCTGTGCTGGCTAGATACGCACAGGTGATGGTAGAGGCAATAGTAAACGACAACAGCATGTTAGAAGTAGAAGCAATGAAGAGTATAGGTGACGTTTACCTGGAAAGAGGAACAGAAACTGGAGACACCAGGGACTTGACCAGAGCTACTGCTCTGTACAACAGGGCACTGGCGCGGTGTCACAGTGTTCATGGAACAGTTGTCATTGTTCACCGCTTACTGCACACCGCAAAAATCAGGCAAGACATCACCACAACAAGAAACAAAGTGAGTGAACTATTTTGACTTGTGCTGACAGAACTTGCCATGTTGACTAGACTTGTTGGTGGGAATGTGTCTTACTTTTTCCATGTAATCAAATGATGCTCTAATAAACAACTCATACAGGAGCTACTAGTAATGCCTGGGAAGTGATTTTAATATCACCTTGCATGGGTCATGTCAGGTTGTTTGTTTATTTATTTTTTTATTTATTGGTTTTGCTGTTCAACCCTTACAGCCAGGGCAGCCCAACTAGCCAGTGGCTATATTACAAAGGGCTTGCCCTGCTGACAAGACAAGACATTACAAAACATATAAGGCGGCTTTACATGTACAGTCAATGTCAGGTCATTTACCTTTGACAAATGAAGTTCAAAGTTCATGTGTGGTTTACAAGACCATCTGCTCATCATATAGTACTTCCTATTGGTTGTTGCAGAGTTCAACACGTACACAACGGCAACAAGACATGCGAGGACGGAAGGGCTACTTCTCTTCCTTCTCAGCTGTGCCCTCTAGCGACGGAACCACCAGTTCCCTGTCCAAGTAAATCTTACATAAATAAATGAGTATTATAACCATTTTTACATTCAAGTATTAATTTAAAAGTATACAAAGTGGCATAATACAAAACTTGGAAAAATGTTTGGTAAAGGAACACTAACAATGAATGATTGGAAATAAATGTACTAGTATTCCGCATGTCATTATACATGTATGTTACTGTGTGTAACATCGGTATAACATCTTTTAGATTTATGTAACAATACTAATATATGCTCAGCATACTATTGCTTTTGTAGTGCAGTTATAACCTTTGTAAAGCATGAAGAATGTTTCTTTGTTCAGCTCCTACCGCAGGTACATCCAGACGGCAGACCGTGACTTGGGAAATGGAGACCTGGACGCAGCAGAGGAGAACCTCGTAGCCGCCCTAAAGCTTGTTCATGGTCTGTTATACAATAATTATTCTTATCCATTATCTTATAAAAGGTTAAAATCCAAAGTAGCAATACAATCAAGTTTCAACAACAATTTCCTCTATCATGAAATATTCCGTCATTCATAACTTCTACAGATATCATGTTTTACAAGTTACAATGTGACTTGTAATTTTTAATTTAACTACTTCCATAACATGAATATCATTCATGAAAGTATCAGTTTGATCCATCCCATATTTTCTTCATTTATTTCTTTTTCCTGCCTACAGATCGCAGTAAACCCAACAAGGCTAAAGAGGCCGACTGTCTGTGCAGGTTGGGTGACGTCTACATTGAGCGAGGTAAGCGGATAGGAGAAGTTAGGAAATTTACACAGGCGGCAGCTCTGTATAACGCCTCCATGGTCAGAACAGATGGAGACAAACAAAACATGGTATCAAAACTGCAAGAAACAGAAAGGCAGTTTCTTAGAAACACCTGTAACCTTGACTGTGAACCATGTCCGTATAGCAGCGTGTTAGATCACAGAAAGGAACTGCACAACTCGCGCGCCCGTGCAAAATCTCAGCTCGAAACAATTCATCGGGAACACAACCCTTATCAGTATGATGAAGACGATCCCGTCGTGAGAGAGGTAGAGATCAAACGAGCTGAAGCAATCAAGAACTTGTTCAAGAGCATCACAATTGAACGACAAGAGTTTATTCAAGTACTGACAGATGAATGCATTGCCAAACTCAGACCTCCTCCCTGTAAGTACGCTTACATTGGGATGGGGTCACAAGCCACAGAACTGGTGACGCCGTACTCCGACCTGGAGTTCGCCATTCTGATTGAGGAGGGGAAGGATGATGATGATACACGAAGGTACTTCCTGAATCTCACACACTACTTACATCTCAAAGTCATCAACCTTGGAGAAACCATCCTCCCAGCCATGGCCATCCCATCACTCAACGACTTTCTCTCAGAAGACCCAGAGAAAGACTGGTTCTTTGACTCCGTCACACCTCGCGGCTTTGCCTTCGACGGCTTCATGCCCTGGGCTTCTAAGACTCCGTTTGGAAGAGACAAAACCAAAAGCAAACCTCCCGTTAGTCTCATCCAGACTCCTACCAGGTTGGCCGAATATCAGTATCTGCACATCGCCCTGGCGGAAGGCTATCACCTGTCAGACATCCTCAGACGGGTGACCTACTTAACAGGAGACATGTCTTTAGTGGAAGAGTACATGGACAGAGTCAACAAAATCTTACATGATCGTTCCTCTGTTCTGTCAGGATTTTCAGCAATGCTAATACTGAAAGATAATCAGCAATTAAGACACAATGCTGAGCCAACAGGGCAACTTTTGGATGTCAGGAAAGAAATACACCGTTTTCCATGGGTAGCCGTTGATGTGTTGAGTATTTGCTGTGGTATCACAATTCCCAGCGTGTGGGGAATGATAGAAGAGTTACACAAGACACAGCAGATCAGTGACGAAGATGCCCACCACTTGACTGTACTGATCAGCATCTCCGCGGAGCTACGGTTAAGAACATACATTGCTAACGGAGGACAGAAGGACAGACTGTCTCCTCTCACGGAGATGAAAGTCCAACTGGACAAACATGACGTAGATGACACGGTCGTTGAGTCAGTTTTCCACATACCAGACTCTAAGATGCTTTTCAGGTACTACTATACTGCCATCCCACTGAAAAGATGCATTTTGGATACAGTTGCAAAGGGAAGTCATCCTACAAAGATGCTCCCAACAGCAATCTTTGACACTTCATCTCAAACAAGGGGCCGACTATGCCGGGAGCTGTTCCATGTCGATGCATCTATACGTCACTTTGAGGCAGCACTAGAAGAGACGGGCAGTGACAAGGAAAAACAGCTTGAAATACTTCTCGAATTAGGTAATGTCTTGCGCATGCGGGGTGACTATGAGAAAGCGATCACCTACTACACACACGCACTGAACATGAATATCTATGGTGAAACAACACCACATCCCAACATTGCTTCATCACTAAACAGTATTGGGACATGTTGGAGCGACCTTGGTGATCAGATTAAAGCTCTCCGTTATTACGAACTGGCACTGAAGATGAGGAAAGCTATCTATGGTGAAACAACACCACATCCTGACATTGCTTCATCATTAATCAACATTGGGACAAGTTGGAGTGACCTTGGTGACCAGAGAAAGGCTATCTCGTATTGTGAACAGTCACTGAAGATGATGAAAGCTATCTATGGAGAAACAACACCGCATCCCAACATTGCTTCATCACTAAACAACATTGGAACTTGCTGGAGTGACCTTGGTGATCATAGGAAAGCTATTGTGTATCATGAACAGTCACTGAAAATGAGGAAAGCTATCTATGGCAACACAACACCACATCCTGACATTGCTTTATCACTAAACAACATTGGAACTTGCTGGAGTAACCTTGGTGATCAGAGGAAAGCTATCAGTTATCACGAACAGTCACTGAAGATGATGAAAGTTATCTATGGCGAAACAACGCCACATCCCAACATTGCTTCTTCACTACACAATATTGGGACATGTTGGAATGGCCTTGGTGATCAGAGGAAAGCTATCAGTTATTACAAACAGTCGCAGAAGATGAAGATAGCTATCTATGGCAACACAACACCACATCCTGACATTGCTTCATCACTAAACAACATTGGAACTAGCTTGAGTAGCCTTGGTGATCAGAGGAAAGCTATTGCGTATCATGAACAGTCATTGAAAATGATGAAAGCTATCTATGGCAACACAACACCACATCCTGACATTGCTTCATCACTAAACAACATTGGAACTTGCTGGAGTAACCTCGGTGATCAGAGGAAAGCTATTGGGTATCATGAACAGTCACTGAAGATGATGAAAGTTATCTATGGCGAAACAACGCCACATCCCAACATTGCTTCATCATTAAACAACATTGGGACATGTTGGAATGACCTTGGTGATCAGAGGAAAGCTCTCAGTTATTACGAACTGGCACTGAAGATGAACATAGCTATCTATGGCAAAACAACACCACATCCTGACATTGCTTCATCACTAAACAACATTGGAACTTGCTGGAGTGACCTTGGTGATCAGAGGAAAGCTATTGGGTATCATGAACAGTCACTGAATATGATGAAAGTTATCTATGGTGAAACAACGCAACATCCCAACATGGCTTCATCATTAAACAACATTGGGACATGTTGGAGTGACCTTGGTGATCAGAGGAAAGCTATCAGTTATTACGAACAGGCACTGAAGATGTGGAAAGCTATCTATGGTGAAACAACAGAACATCCCGACATTGCCAGGGTTTTAAACGACATTGGGGAATGTTGGAGTAACCTTGGTGATCAGAGAAAGGCTATCAGGTATTATGAACAGTCACTGAAGATGATGAAAGTTATTCATCATGGCGAAACAACACCACATCTTAACATTGCTTCATCACTAAACAAAATTGCGACATGTTGGAAGGACCTTGGAGATAAGACGAAGGCTACCATATATTACAAAATGTATGTACAAGGCCTAAAGATGATGAAAGCTATCAATGTCGCAACAACAGCACTTCCTGACATTACCTCATCATTAAACAAGAAAGAAGCTGACAATGGCCGCTATGAAACTGCATCAGCTTTACCAGCATCTCTTGCAGATGTGACTGTAAAAGACAGTGATGAGGTGAGTCTATTGACTGTACTGTTGCACCTTACTGTGAGGTTGAATATTGGTACCTTGTACTGTATTCCATAAAGATTTTGAAAGATCTGTGTCAAAATCTGAAAAGTTTTACGCCAATAACTTTGTTGATGGTATCATTTCAGGATTTGATGATAATAGTATCATTTCAGGATTTCAAAACCAACTATACCATGTCTCGATCAAAGCTTCAAGAAAGACCACAAGCAGATGGTTCAGTTGAAGTAGAGAGCAAGACAAGTAGCTCTACTGGTAAGAGTTTCAAAATAATTCAATCAATTATCAAACCAGCTGGCAGTAAAATACAGATTCTAAAGTTTACTGATACATATACAACTGACTTATTGAATGAAACTAGATGATGATCGATCTTGACTGAGTTGACATATTGTCAGTGCTTTTCTTTGACATAAGATTAACTTAGTGTTGGTGAATCAGTACCATTTTTACATACATTTGCCACAATTGCAGTCATTGTAATTTACATGTACTGTACATCATTTCGCATAACCTTCCTAATGAACCTCCTATAGATTTGGAGCATGTGTTGGACACCATCATCAGCAGGCTGGATGAGACTGATGTAAGGCTGCTGATGCAGGTGTGGTATTCACGTACCGGAAAACAGGAAATTCCAGGGGCTGAGTTGCCAGCTGACATGATGAAGGACATAATGAAGAGTGAATACCTTTCAACCAGTATGTAGTTTTCTTCCTTCTCAATTTACAATGATCTACATGTATTGAAGATTGCTGTTTCTTTTAAATTATGAATTTGGCATAATTGTGAAGTCCACATTGCTAATATTGTTTTTAACTATTTCAGGTGACCACAGAATGCTGCAGCTGGAAAAGGATATGGTTGCAGCTGGGATCAGCTTTCCTGCTCTTGTACGAGACATTCCAGGTTAGCTTAAATTTGAGTGATATACTGTATTGTACAATATCTCTGGTGGAACAAAAGCTGAATGCACTGTGTAAGAATTTCAAGGTACATTAATTGTTAAAACAAGACAACTACCAAAGGGTTACAAAAAAAACATTATTCAACAAGAAAGGTAATATTTGCAGGCAAATGCAGGATGTTTGCCTTTGCATGATCTAGTCTACCATTCGAGAAATTAAATTGGTGTGGCCTTATAATGCAACTTTTTCTCTGCAACTTTTTCTCTGCAATCAAGTTAAGTCTATTAAGTCTAGACATTAAGTCTGTTAAGTCTAGACAGATACAGTGCACTCCTCCGCTGAGTGTATAGTGAACGAGCCCCGGTGTCACAGACAGTAGGGCCATCTGGGTCAGACAGGTCTTCAGGGTTCCAGGAATGTGGGCATAGATGTGGGTCAGAGAAATGCCTGTGGACATTCCGCATGCCTGTGGACAAAATGCCTGTACCATTCCTAGAATTCTGCACACAATACTGTACCATTAGGCTCCTCCCTGAGACGTCGCCAAAAACAGACCTATAGGCATCCTATTAAATGGCCCATCCTATCGATAGGAGTCAGCATACCGGGCCCGGTTCAAAATTCAAACAATGAATTTTGAACTTTTAATGATACCACTGCAGTGAAAGATGGAATAACTGTAACAACTACTTGGAAGAAAAGGAATTTTTTTTTTTTTGCAAATTAGAAAGAAATGAAGCGGGCGAATCCGTTAACCAAGAAATTAAATTGGAGTGGCCTTATAATGCAACTTTTTCTCGGCAACTTTTTCTCGGCAAAAACAAAGTTTCCTTCTGCGAAGTTATGATGTTAGACTTATATCTCTCATGTTTGTTTCATTTTGTGTATTCAAAGTTCCCAGTTGCCTGGTAAGCCCCACAAAGCTTTGAAACATTGACTCAGATCATAGTCATTTCTTTCCTTTCTTGTCTTGCCAAATTGAATGTTTTTGTAGGTGTGCCGGAAGAGCTGAAGTACACAAGGACAACAGAGTCTGTAGTAGGACCCACGGGCGGAGAGTTGGAGATTCCTGGTTTTGTCAAGCTTGTTGTACCCCCAGACGTGCTTCAACAAGACACAATGATAACCATCTCGACCGTAGATGTTGCTGCTATCCTCAGGGATCCTGAGAGTCTTAACTGGATCTCTGGCTACCCCTGGTCCCTGGGTGAGGACGCCTGCCCACGTGAGCTACTGGAACAGGTGCTGTTCTCCCCAGCTGTTGATGTCAACCTACACGGTGCACAGCTGAGTGGGCCAGTGGAGGTGCAGACGTGGCGACCGCCAGGGTCTGAAGACATAAGGTGCTTTCTACTGAAGCATCATGATGGAGAAGGCTGGACAGACATCACAGCTTCAACACAGTACCAAATAAACCAGAATGAAATATCCATTTCCTTGCAAAGTTTTAGTCCTGTTGTCACTGGGTGGGCTCCTGCGGATGCAGTAATTGCATCAGTTGAAGATCGCGTAAGGAGGGTAGTGGACGCTCTATCATCAAGAACTTTAGATTGTCGGTTTGCAGCATACATAAATCCCAGTCCTGACGGTGATGTGCAGTTCCGTGTTGTCTGTAGAGACCAGCGTGTACAGACAGATGAGTACCACTCAGGCTTCACCAAGTGTGGAGGCAATGCAGCGAATTTCGATCTTTTCCATGGGGATGAACTTGACATCACTGTTAGTGTCCGTGGAGGCCAGGAAGATTCTGAGGAGATGGAACTACGATCCAAGCTTTGTTGCGACAAATACGGCCAGAACGTTCAAATGTGGCTGGACAGACCTAATGGACGCCTTGTCAAAGGCAAAGTTAGTGTCAAGAAAGTCCAAGTGCCAACAAATCGGACTGCATGTCAGTTCATCTTCAAGGAGGTAAGTGGGTATATTAGCTGATGATTAAGTCCATAAAATGTTTCCTTGAAGAATATTCATATCTCATGTATGTCATCCAGTGAAACATCTCTCGAGATTGAGTAGCAGATGCTAAATATTGTCAGCAAACATCTATAAGTCTATCAGCATCATAATAAACGGTATTGCACTTCTTAGAACTAAGACCTTCCCCATAATGTTTGACATTAGTGTCTAAACTAGTGTCAAACATTAGTGTCTAAACTACCATTTGAAACAATTGTTTAAGGTACAGTACTACAACTACAATCTGATCATACTGACATATTCTGTATTTCCTGTTTCAGGAAGGTGAGATCTTGCAACGTAAGTACTAGTATATTGTTTTCAGCCTACTAGTAATTAAATGTTTTCAATGGTCTAAACCTCAGGTTAAAACTTAATCTGCAAAACATATTAAAGAAATATGCAATATGGTATGAAAGTTCAGTCCTTTTCCCAAAATTATCTATCAGTAAACTTTAGATACTAAGTAATGTAACAATTTTTCATGATGGTCTACCATATCATGATTGTCAATTTTGCTTGTTGGACATTGTATTAATAGATCTCATGCATAATACCATTGCCAGAGTCCCAGAAGAATTATAACTCAATCAAAAGATCTTAATTTAGACTTAAGAGATAAGAGATTGGCATTTACAATCATGTTATCTTCATCTATAGGTAACTACACGAGAGACAGCACAACTGAGGAGTCTGACAGCACCCAAACAACACCGAAAGAACTGGTGGAGCCTGTGAGGGGAAAGCTGGCTCTATCAAGCATTACAGGTTTTTGCATTTTATTTATGCATTTGTATATGAACATGTCCATTTATTTGTCGGCATGATGGCCTAGAAAAGGTGTACTTAGGTGCACCTGTTCCACCATGCCTTCCATGTACATGTGTATGTGGAGAATTGTAATAAGTAAATAAATTAAATACAATCATGTAAGTTAAGGTTTATGAAACCTGATACATTGTCACTATTTGTCCTGATTATTTAACAATATATAACAATTACATAAATAGATTTTTCTACTAATAATTCTTACTAGGCTCAGTAGTAGGCTGTCATAAAAGTTGCTCAACAGATGTGTCTGATTTGCTTGGTGATGAGAATGATCATGGTATCTATGTATCCGAACACTTAAAAGGTGACAGTGAAACTAGGAGGGTGGATGTTCTATCAACATATCAACGTCAAGCAGGGCCTGGTGACAGAACTGACTCCATTGCACTCACTCACGCACTCGATCATCTTGCACTTCGTGCGTCAAGCAGACTAGTTTCCATTGCAAGAGGTGAGGAATTAGAAACCAGACCACACCTTTGTAGTGTTATGGATGATACACCCTTGCACAACTTGATGATTTTATACAATACAACCTGGAAAACTTTTTGACCAATTTGTTTGACTTAAATTTTGTTTGACATTGAGTAGGATTTACCAACAGAAAAACTGACAACTCCCTTTCTGTGTTGTCCATCTTATTGGTTGTTACAAATTGTTACAAATTGTATTCTACTGGATTTGATTTTGCATAACTCAATTTCAATAACTCATACAAATGAGTACAACATTTTCTTGTACTCATGTTCCTTAGACTTAGAGTCAATTTAATATATATAATATATATATGCTGCTTGAAAATACGTTATGATAGCTTCTAGGCAATTTGTATTGCTGTTCTTCTTCAAGGATCTGGAAGCAAGCCAGTTGTGCTGCTGATCAGTGACAAATATGGCAGCTCCTACGATGATGTCTGCACCACACACAGGCAGATGGCAGTCATGCTGGTCTCTCAAGGAGCAGTGATCTACAGCACTGTCTTAGATGCCACAGAAGAGGATAAGAGGGATGCAACAGCTGATGGAGTTCGGCTGATTTTTCCAACAAGAAAGGAGGGAGACATCAGAGATCCCTGTCTTGATTGGCTGACATACGACCACGAGAGTCGTTATCCAAGCCTTCCGTCAAATGTAGACTTCATTGTCGGCCATATTAACACCACAAGCCGTGCAGCAAAGCTGATCAAGAAGCAACGCCTTCCCGGTGCCAAACTAGTCCAGGTCACTCATGAGATCCCAGAAGAAACCAGCCACTACAAGGGTGATGAGAAGGTCACGAGTATTGGGGAGGAGAGTGACAGCATTTTGGAAGACCTACGACATGCCGATATTATCTTCTCTGTCGGTCCATTAATCTATGACTACTACAGAAATCAGACAAAAGAACAACAACGGCCACATCATGAGTTTCTGCCCAAGCCATCCGACATCTTCAGCAAGATGCAAGTGAACTACGTCAACACAAAAACAAAAGTGGTGCTGTCTATCGGCAGGGTCAAGGGCGCAGAGAGTTTGAAAGGTTACGATATTTCTGGAAAGGCAATGGGCATGGTGATTGAGCAACTACCTAACACCAGGTGGCGAGCCTGTGGTGTCACTCCTGAAGACTTTAAAGAGAGCAAGCAAGTCATCCAAGCCAACATGGAGAAGAACAAATTCAACTTCACCCCCCTAAAATGCGCCACACAGGAAGAGCTAAGCAGAGAACTGCAGAAAGCTCATGTTGTCCTGATGCCGTCACGTGCAGAGCCATTCGGACAGGTTGGTCTTGAGGCCATTGCTGCAGGAATACCAGTTCTGGTTTCCAACAAGTCTGGTCTAGCTTCGTTCTTAAGTAGCCAAGATCCTGAGTTTGACCGTCCGATTGTGGACATCACAGATGACCATGAGGCTGCAAGCACACTGGCAAAGCGCATCATTAAGATTCTGAAGGATGGAAGAAGGGAGTTCCAGGCTGCACAAACTTTGAAGGAGAAACTTCTGGCATCAAAGTACTGGGATGAATCACATAGGAACTTTCTTGAAGCATTTGGCCTTTAGGTCTGCTAAACTTCCTTAGTAAGCATGGATACCTAGCAACTAACTCAGGGATAGAGTCTTAGAGCAATTACAGTGTTCACTTCTGTACATAAATGAAATTCTTTATGGCATATTCACTGTATAAAAGACTAGGAGCTTTGAGATGTGCATAATTATGAATTGAAGTTGGCTATTTTGAGCCCAAAGTTCAAAATGAAACTGTTGTACAAATGTATTGTTATGTATATATTTGATACTCAGCCTTCAACGGCTAAATATCTGCCCATATTTTTTTTAAATATTGATAAATAAATACTCAGGAAATTTTATGTACAAATTTGTAATACTATTTTTTAACAAAGTTTGAAATATTTTGTTACAGTAGTATATTATGTAAGAGTATTTATGATACCAATGTAAATAGTCAAATATTTAATATATAATATATACAATATTGAAATATTGAAATTATTTTGTAATATATTATGTAAGAGTATTTTTGATACCAATGTAAATAGTCAAAAATCTAACATATTTTTATAATACAATGATGTGACAGGTACTGATGAAAAGTTTAAAGCAATACTTGATATGTACCAGGAGATATCAAAATCGATTTCAAAGCCTGAAGTATAACAAGACGTTACAAAAGCGACACCTACATGTATCAGCTTCAGTGAAAAGTGCAACTACCGCAGCATGGATCAGATGCGGCCCCTAGCAACTCATTTCGGTATTGCATCAAAATACTCTAGACTAATGGTCTTCGTAACATTTGATCTTCTAATGTGTTAATTCACGACCATGACAAAAATAAATGACATCGTCATCTACTCATTTTCCTTGTTCCGATCTGTTACTTTGTTATTTCATCCCTTTGGTTTTTAGCCTGTGTGTGTACCAGCATCCAGAAATGAAATATTTCTTAAGGCCCTGGGTAAGAAACGTCCTTGGTAATAACATACTGCGACACAAATCATCACACAAATCCCTACACCACCTTAAGTGACCGTCTCGTCGCCAAATCGTCTGGAATACATAAATTTCATCGCAGAGAAATCAATCCGATTTAAAATTCAGAAAGTAGACTGCTTTCTCCGTATAGGATTAGGCCAAACTTTGACCAAACTTTTTTTAAAATCCAGCTCCCTTTCAAAACTCTCAGAATATATATTAAAATGGAATAGCCCAACACATTGGGTAATAGCCCAAAACATTTCCTAAGTTTTTTGAAAGAGCGTGTCCGATTGGTCGGCGGTTTTAGTACGACGTTTCTCATTGGTGCACTGCCCCTCAGGATGACTGCAAAAGAAGTAGACAACTGCAGAGAAATTGTTGCTTGTGATACGAAACTTGTTGACGAAGCATTTTGATGAATAACACCGCCTCCGCGCTGCAATCTCTGCCAAATTCATTGGTTTCTTGATAAGTCTACAGTCATTTGCGCAACCAGCGTCCACAATTTCTCCGTGAAACACGTGCCAAATACACGTGTGGCTAGGGCTCCGTACCGGTTCTGTGTACCGGTACAGTACCGAAAAGTCGGTAAGGTACAGGTCCAAAATACCGATATGGCACAGAGGTGATCAAAGTGATATCTAGAAGGAGCATAACTAGTAATATGCAACAAATAGACAGCTAGAGTACTAGTATTGTATGCAGCAAAACATGGTTCTGTTTTTGTTTGAATATGGCATGGGTGCCTAGTTCTGCCCTGTTTTATCTAAATAAAGATTCTGTCAAGTTTATTACTGTTTATTGAGGAAGTTTAGAAGAACATGATTGTGTTAATTTGACAAACTGTTCAGGAACAGGTACGTAAACTTCAGTACCTGTACCTGATGTTAAGTTTAGGTACGCAGAAGGTTAAGTTTTAATATGAAGTCTATAGGCATTCGTGCTACCAGCACCCGCAATTTCTCCACGAGACACGTGCCAAAAGCACGATTCGTACGTCAATCAAGTCAGCCCAGACTACTTTACAGTACACCGCTACGAAGATCTAGATGAGAGCCCGCTTGCCCTTTTTCGTAAGGCGTAATCAGGCCTTTTTAGTCTTCGTAATCCGTAGGCAGCCTCCCCAAAAATCAACGTAATCCGTACTAGTACGGATCCGTACTAGTCGAAAAACGTAAAGTCGTAATCAGCTCTATCTGAGACTTAAACGTAATTCGTAATCGGCGGCGAACATTTTGCGTATTCGTAATCACTACCCCCCAACCAGGCCCTCCTTACACTGCCAAAAGTACGATTTGTACGTCAATCAAGACAGCCCAGACTACTATAGAGTACCCCTACGCAGGTCTAGATTACGCAAGGATTGCGCAGGTAGACACTAGATAGGATAACGCCCACGTCTTGCGTGTAAATTACATAGCAGAACTACCAGACAGATTCTTGTCATTTTCCTGCCGATTTTCCGCTGCACAGTCAAGTTCCAGCCATTCTCTGAAGAACAAGGTGGGCCTATCGGTATGTATCATTTTTTTTCTTCGCTTTAACACAACTGGTGCACATTTCTTTCTTTAATGGAGCATATAGGTGCTGGCTTAAAGAAACTAGTTTAAGTTTGTTTTTACCTTAGCATGACTGGTTTATATATTCTTTTCTATAACAGAGCACAAATGGTGGCTAACTGTGACTAGTTTCAATTTTTCACCTCAACATGACTGTTTTTTAATTCTATCTGTAACAGAGCATGCATAATCGGGTAACTTTGACTAGTTTGAGAAAACAACACCTGACTCTTCTTCATAGTTACAAGACGCGGGATTTCTTTTCGTTTCTGGCATGGTATCAGGCCAAAATCAATGCGCGCGCGGACGCCATCCATAAAAAGTACTTGGGGAGGCCTTATACTCGTATATCGCATGTGGGCCTGTCTATTGGTGAAATACATCCCCCCTTGAATTGCAGGTAACTGTTGAGGTGATCTTGAAGTAAAAGGAAAACACATCAGTCTACAATCAATCTGAGGGAACAAAACATCTCAGTCTGCCTGGCCAAAGGTTTCTCGGACAAGAAGCTGACCCCCTGCTCTTCTCCGAAAGGTACCACCAAGTCCAGCTGTATATACGTAACTCTGTTGTGATCAGCTATCTGTCTTTATAACACCTCAAGATTGGATAAGAAGCTCTTATTTCACCGTTTTAAAGAAAGACATAGAGGATATAAACTGTCTATTGATCAACACACAGGAATGTACATATTGGAAGTCATTTGAGACCTAGAATCTCCCAGCCATCTTTCGTTGTCTACACATTTCACGTAATCACTTTGCTATCAGAATCAATCATTTAAATCTTCGAGTTCGAAAAAGAAAATGTCCATCTCATTTTCAAGAAGAGCAAAGTAACTCCTGCTGAACTCTTCTTAGAGTTATAGCTTTTCTACTTTATTGATTATTCGTAATACATTTATGTAATATGTAATTATGTGTTGTTATAAGGTACTAGTACTTGATAGAGGTAATGATAACAAGGAACACAATGTGTGTAATTAAGTAACTTTGAGCTTTATATAGTATTAATGTGGCATTGTAGTGATTGAGCTGAAAATCATCATATACATATGATGCTTACATCAGGCTCATTGTGTATTGATTAGAAAAAATCAACCATGGTTTAGAGGAAAAGGCGAGTAACGAACCGAAATTTGAAAGCAACTTGTCTTTTATAACATCATTATGATCATGAGTTATTTGATGTGCTTCATTTATATGATACTGTTGACAAGTACAAATACAAACAATGATGCATTTCCATCGAGATGCTACGTTGACAACGGACACTACAAAAACATCAACTGTCCAAATTCCAACATAACAAGCCTTCCTCCTAACCCACCATCATTCGTGGGTGACGTACACCTTCCCTACAACCGTATTCAAACAATCCATAGTCTTTCAAGCTTTTCAAAAGTCTTTAAGCTAAATTTTAGCCACAATCTCATCACGGCGTTCCCTTGGGAATCTTTAAAACACGCGAAGTTTATTTCCAAACTTGATTTGTCGTATAATCAGTTGTCGTCTGTAAGGCTTGATTTAGCTGGAAGTAGTGGGCTAAAATATTTTCAGTTTCTGAATGTAGCCCACAACAAGCTTACAACATTCTCGGAGGCAGGTTTGGGTATTACCACTGAAAATACCACCCGCCGTTGGAATAAGAAGATATTCATATATGAGAACCCGATTCACTGTGACTGTCGCATGCCGTGGCTGATAGAAATGGCTCGTACGTTTCACGGATGTTGGCATTGGCACAAGTGTTCGCCATCTTTCAAAAAAGGCCCATTTTTTGGAAATTTGTACATGAACAATAGCTGTGGCGGTCCCGGCAGCTTAAGGGGCGTCCTGTTGCACGAAGTAAGCCTGCCTGACAAAGCAAACTGCTTCACGACTGCACAAAGCAAAACAGAAAGTTTTACATCTGCTCCCAAGTTCCGACAGGTTAAAACCCTACTAAACATCTCCAGGCCCAAATTCACTGTTTCGTCAGTGTTTTGGCGGCTGGGGTGCTTCTGAAGCATTTTTTCTATAATGTGCTAACGTATTAAAACAATAGCCTGAGTTGTAACATTACAGTAACACTCCTGCATGGCTAATCATTGGCTTACAGCAACTGCCAGGTTCTTGCTACATGTAGAAGTCCTGATGGTAGACGATGCCGGTGTACTCTTGTTTTAAATGACTGGAGGTTGTTGTCAGTGATCAGGCAGACCTAGCCTGGGTACCATCCGGATTTTTTGCTCGTCAACGCTCGAAAAATCGGTCGTCAAAATCACAGAATAAACACGACAAGAAAGACCAGAATGCAGCATCAGCAATCAAAACTACCGCTATGCGTAAAAAATCAGTCTACAGCAAGTGGTGCAATGCAGATTCCTAGAAAGACTTCATGAATGAAAAATACAGGAGAAGACATGATATGATTGCTTTTTTTCTGGCATATACAGTTGTGATTTCATCTTGTAATTTAATTTGTCTAACTCAAACATAGCTGACGCATGGTATCATGCATTGAAAAAAAATTGGACACCCCCTAAATCCTGCCTAAAAGCCTGGTGTGGCCCTATAGCGAACTGAGATGTGTTCTCCTTTTTTATGTTACAGGTTACCGCCGCGGTGAGGTAACAACACAACTATCGCCGGTTCGGCCCAACCCGACCCACTACTTTGTTATCAGACATAACTCTTTTAAATGTTAAAGCTAGAAGGATAAGCCACATATATCCACCAGCCATCTAATTTTAAAGTAGTAGTTTAGAGCAAAACAAAGGTAGTCAGTTGAGACCCAGAATCTAATCAAAGCTACCTTTCTTTCTTTCTCAACCCATTCAATTCCAAGTCATTAGTTTGCTTCTAGACATAATACTCTAAGCTAGAAAAAGAAACTTTCAAATCATTTTGAAGCATAACAGATTGAACTACTAGTATTTTTAAACCTAAGGACAAGAAACTAACTAGAATTGGAAAAAAGCCTTCCTTGTAGCAACATTATCTTGCATTTATTTGACACAATCATGAAATATTCGATGTGCTTCATACTTCTAGTTCTGACACTTTTGAAAGTTGCAAAAACAAAAGATGCGTTTCCGCAGAAATGTTATGTCCCTGATGCAGTCCGGGCATTTAAAACAAACATCAACTGTCCAAACTCTAACATAACAAGCCTTCCTACCAACCCTCCAGCTGAATATATTGGCGACATACAACTTTCACACAACCAAATCCAAGTAGTCCCCAACCTCTCCATCTTCCCAAAAGTCCAGAAGTTAAATCTGAGCCACAATCTGATCAAAACCTTTCCTTGGGGATCTCTGAAACACATCAAGTTGCTTTCAAAACTAGATCTGTCCTATAATCAGTTATCTATTGTCAGGCTGGACTTGAATCCCAACAAAAAGATCGGTTTTGTGACTGTGGCTTACAACAAACTGGCCACATTTTCGGAGGCAAATGTGGGCATCCTGCAGACCAAACACTTTGTAAAAAGGCACATACACGGCAATCCGATTCACTGTGACTGCAGCATGTCCTGGCTGGCAAAAAAAGCTGCCACCTACCATAAAGACTGCTTCGAGAAACCCTCTGGTTTCTTGTATTGTCTACATAAATTGCGTCCCCTGTATGAGAGTATTCGCATCAGCGGCGATGCCTTCACGTGTAGCAGTCCCGCTAGCCTAAAGGACAAACCATTACGCACTGTGAACCTCCCTGCTTGCCAAAACACCCCGACCAACGTCTTTTTACCATTTACAACAGAAACGACCACCACTGCCAAAATAACAACTCTTTCTGCTACCACAACAAACAACTTCACTATCACAAGCGCCCCTTATGCCACAGAACAACCCATGACTACGCCCATGATCCGACAGGTTGATTCCTTTGTGAATATCACCCCGCCAGAATTCACCATTTCCTCGGCAAATGGTAGTGAACATGACCAGCATATTACCCACCCCAATGCCGCTACAGACAGAGCTCATGCTTCTAAGAAATCAGCTGCCATACCTACAGCAGCTTTGGTGGCCATTGCGGTTGTTGTCGTGTTGCTGTTGGCCCTCGCCATTGCTGTGTTCACCAGAAAGCTTATCCAAAAACGTGAGAATCGTAACGATGGGCAGGATGGCAAAGAGCATGAAGTAGAATTATCAGAAACTAAAGCTGGGTCCAACACAAACCCCTAAAATAGGCCAATATACAGGATTACATGGGTCACAACTTTTTGTGTTGCGGTTGGCTCTGGCTATTGCTGTATTCGCCAAAAAGCTCATTCAAAAACGTCGGACTCGTCACGAAGGGCAGGATGGCAAAGGGCAGGAAGTAGAAACTAAAGAAGGGTTCAACGCAAACCCTTCAAATACTTAATAAAAGGCCAACGTGAACGTAAAAGGGTCACTTTTTAAGATGTTTGTTGTTTCATACATTTTTTTCAAATGAACATTGGATACATCCCCTACTCAAACATTGTTTTGCAATGCAAGCAACCGGCAAATTAACTCTATTTTGTGAGCAAAATTCTTTCAGGCAAACTCACTCCTAACAGAGATTAAAGATTAAACAGCTGCAGCTGCTAAAGCGTTGTCTCCAATTGGCGATAATTTGTAGCGAACTGAGATGTGTTCTCCTTATGTTGCAGGTTGCTTCCGGCAAGCGGAAATAGCAACACAGCTATCGCCGGTTTCAGTTCGTCCCAGCCCGACTTTGCTATCAGACATAACTCTTTGTTAGAATAAGAAGCCATCTCATTTTAAAGTAGTCTTTTAGAGCAAAAGAGTGGTAGTCAGTTGAGACCTTGAATCTAATCAAAATTACCTTTCTTTCTCAGCCCATTCAAAGTTATTAATTTGCTTTTAGACATAATCCTCTAAGTCGGCAAGCTAGAAAAAACTTTCAAATCATTTTGAAGTGAAACAAAGTAAACTATTTATTTCAAACCAAGGGGCAAGAAACTAAATAGAATTTGAAAGTAGCCTTCCTTGTAAAATCATTATCTTGCATTTGATCATGAAGTATTTGATGTGCTTGATGTATCTGATCCTGTTGAAGGATGCACGAACGAATGATGCGCTTCCTGAAAAGTGTTACATCAAAGACGCAAAAGACCCAAACTACCTACACATTGACTGTCCAAACTCTAACATAACAAGCCTGCCTACTAACCCTCATGAATTTATTGGCGAAATACAACTTTCTCACAACCAAATCCAAACAGTTCCCAACCTCTCTATCTTCCCGACCGTCAACAAACTGAACCTTAGCCACAATCTGATCTCAACCTTTCCTTGGGAATCTCTGAAACACATGAAGTTCCTTTCACAGCTCGATCTGTCCTATAATCAGCTGTCTACTGTTAGGTTGGGGGTCTACATGGTGTCCAGCTACGGGCTGAGAACCATTACCTCCGTGACTGTAGCCTACAACAACCTGGCCACATTCTCGGAGGCCGACTTGGGGATAATCCCAAACAACAAGCAGATCATCAGCAGGCACTTGCAGGGAAATCCATTTCACTGTGACTGCCGCATGTCCTGGCTATCAAAACTAGTTGCCACCTACCACGAGAAATGCACGTCATACCTGTCCTGGCTGAGTTGTCCCCTTAGGCGTGGTCCGTTCTATGACAGTCTTCGCGCCAGCGATGACTTCAAGTGTAGCAGTCCCGCCAGCCTAAAAGACACCCCGTTACGCACTGTGAACCTCCCTGCCTGCCAAGCAACCACCCCGACCAACGTCTTTTTACCATTCACAACAGAAACGACAACCACTGCCAAAATCACAATCCTTTCTGCTACCACAACGAACAAATTCGCCACCACCACTGCCAAAGTCACAACCCTTTCTACCACAACGAATACATTCACTACCACCACTGCCCAAATCACACCCCTTTCTGCTACCACAAAGAACAAATTCACTACCACAAGTGTCCCGAATGCCACAGAACCATCCACGACTATGCCCATGATCCGACAGGTTGATTTCTTTGTGAATGCCACCACGCCAAAATTCACTATTTCCTCAGCAAATGCTAGTGACGAAAACCAGAATATTACCCAACCCATACCCACTACAAACAAAGCTCATGCTCCTAAAGAGTCAGCTGCCATACCTACAGCAGCTCTGGTGGCCATTGCGGTTGTTGTCGTGTTGCTGTTGGCCCTCGCCATTGCTGCAGTTGGCAAAAAGCTTATTCAAAAACGTCGGAATCGTCACGATGAGCAGGATGGCAAAGAACAGGAGGTAGAATTATCAGAAACTAAAGCTGGGTCCAACACAAACCCTTAAAATACTCCATAAAAGACCAACGTATCAATCAAATTTTGCGTTACTGTTGACTCTGGCCATTGCTGTAGTCTCCAAAAAGCTCATTCAAAAACGTCTAAATCACGATGGTCAGGATGGCAAAGAACAGGAGGTAGAATTATCAGAAACTAAAGCAGGGTCCAACGCAAACCCCTGAAATATATACTAAAATACGTTAAAAAAAAGAGCCAATATACAGGAGTAGAATGGCCAAAATTCAAGATTTTTCTTGTTTCTTACAATGTTTTTTCAACCAAAATTTAGCAGGGAAAGACACCGTGCACCTTCCCTGAATTTCGCAAAATTTGTAACAACATGATATCACAATGCAAACTATTTAAATGGTGTAGATCTGTGTACATAAAAATTAACGTGAAAGCAGCACTTCAAAACCATCAAAACGTTTCAATAATTATAATTATTTACAAGTAGAAAGAACACAATTTCATTCCAATTGTTTGAATATAACTTGTACCTTAACAGTTTGGACACAGAAAAACTCACTTGTTTCAAGCTTTTCATAGTGTGGTAAGATATAAATTGCTTTGTTGAAAATATGCTTATATTTCTTCAGAACTGTAACTATTTAGAAAACTTAATTTTAAACACCTAATATATATTTCTTGCATTTTCTAGCAGTGCAACTGGGATTATGTGAACTTATTACTACTAATAACTGTTGTAGACATTTGAATTTTATATGTTTGTCACTATAAGTATAAAGCACAAATATTCAATTATTAAGTAATTAATCTGATGTTGTCAAGGAGAAACATGACAGATTTTGCTGTTACCATTATAGCATTGTGAACATGTGAATTGCTTATTACGCATACGTAGCTCAGACTGGACCATGTCAGCATTTCTGACAATTCAAAACATATACAATGAACCTTGAATATACGACATACGAAACTCAATCTGAGATACATACAATATAGAGAAATGTTAATTTGTAGAAGAAAGAGGAAAACTGGTATAAATAAGATGCACATCCACTTCTTCTATGCCTATTTATAATTAAATACATGTCCACTCGGTAAAACCGCTGTTCAATGTACAATGATGTGTGTGTGCGTGTGTGTGTGTGTGTGCCTCTGTGTGTGTGTGTTTGTGTGTCTGTTTGTGTGTGTGCTTGTGTGCGCGCGCTTGTATATGTATGTCTGTGTGTGTGTGTGTGTGTGTGTGTGTGTGTTTGTGTATGTAGCACATTATATAATACCTTGCCTGCATAGTAAAATTGTCACATATAAATTTAATTTTAAAAATCCACATCTCTCTATCTACACGTGTCTGTAACCAGCCTGACCGCGCCAATGTTGTTCAGCCAAGCGAGGAAGTCAAACTCTATACAGAAATCATGATCCGTGAAAATAGCAACAGGAGAGTTCTCGTTATACCGGTACGTCAGTGTCCGGTTGTGTCCGTCCGTGCCGAAAGGATAGAAGCCGTACAGGCTGATGACGTCACAGAACGTCGTTCCCAGGGTGTAGATGATGAGCCCGGATGTTGGGTTGTACAGCTTGGGGATCAAGGCTGCACCCAGGACCCTGTCACACACAAACAAACAAACAAACATATTTGTTATTATGTTTACCAAAGGAAACGTATTGTTTTTGTACAGCTTGGGGACCACGATTGCACCCAGGACCCTGTCACACACAAACAAACATATTTGTTATTATGTTTACCGAAGGAAAAAATATTGTTTTTGCTCAGTTTCCTCTTCTCCAAACACAAAAGGTCAATGACCTGAACCAGACGGCTGTCACCATGGTAACACAAACACATGTATATATAGACACACAAACACACGAACTCACACACACAATATTTGACGTGGTAACTAATACATTCTACTACCTATAAAAAGTAAAATAAAAAATAGAAATAAAAAATAAAAAGAAATAATAAAAATAAAAATAAAATAAAACAAAAAAGTCATAAAAAGTAAAAAAAAAGTACATATAATAATGTTTATAAATCAAAAAATAAAGATGAAAAATAATAAATACTACTACCTGGTAATTGCGACCTGTGGGTCGTCCAAAGAGTAAGTAAGTGAAATATCCAGGCCGCTGTCTGCCATCGCCGTGTCCAAGGCTTGCAGAGCGTCCTTTATTCGGTTAGTCACTACTTTAATATAGCTGATGATGCCATGGTTCAGGGGCGACAAAAAATCCAGGACACCCTCTCTGGTGTTTTTGTCTGATAGTTTTTTCGGGATGTCTTTTGCGATGTTCCAATTGATCACAGTCATGTTGGTCTTTCTTCCAACGTCCTGTAAAACAAATTAATTCGGTTTTGTTTTAAGTTAAAGCTTTCGATTTGAACACTTTTGGCTCCGAAAAAATCCGCCCCAAATTTCCTGTGAACTCTGTAATTATGGTGCGCCTTGGAGTGAACATAAGCAAACTAGAGTTGACTCTAAGTTTAAGTCATACAATACCCCCCCCCCCAAAAAAAAAGGTTGGGACAGTTTATCCTCATTTCGGGACAATTGGAATTTATTTTTGGGACAGTGCTGGGACAACAGGAAGAAAGGTTAATTTCAAGGCCTGTATATTCCGTTTTTGTCCATTGTCTTTTCTTTCTACCAGGAAAGCAGAACTTTAGTTTTACCTGTTCAAAGTTGCTGGTGGGCGCCATGTTTAACCTGATGACGTAATCGTTCGAATCGATCTCGTTCCCACAGCTACTGTTGAGCAGAATCCCGCCGTTCCCGACGATTGCGCATGTGCGATAGTGACGTAACGGCGTCCTCATTGGACAGTTTTTCTCGCCTCCGCATTTTGATTTTGATGCCGAGAAGTAGACGAAATTTCTTGACGGACGGAAATGCTTGATTACCAGATTTCTGTGAGTGAATATCGAGTACCCCCCCCCAAATATATTAACGAATTCAATATATATATATATATATATATATATATATATATATATATATATATATATATATATATATATATATATATATATATATATATATATATATATATATATATATATATATATATGTAGTGATGCATACCGGTTCACTGGACTTGGATCCGGACTTGTAAGAATGTTTAGGTTCAAGTCCAAAAAAACCTAAAAGTCAAGAACTGAGTCCGGACTTATTACCATAAAAGACTATCTTACAATACATATACCCTTTTCTTTCCAAACCAGTGCCGGCCTCCATGTTATGTGGCCAAAGTTTCACCCAGACAACATTGCAAGGTTGCCAACATGCAATTTTGTACATGTCATGGGTTTAGGTCCGGATTTACAAGTCCGGAACTGAACCTAAACCTCTGGACTTGAATCCGGACCTGAACCTAAAATTGGGTTTAGGTATGCATCACTATATGAATGTGTGTGTGTGTGTGTGTGTGTGTGTGTGTGTGTTTGTATGTGTATGGAAGTTCATTGTAAATTCCTGCCCGAAGGCTAATTGCAAATAACAAAAAAGAACAGTGAAACAGGGTACAAAATAACTTCAAAATCTACATAATAACGCAGGGTAATTGTCTAAAACTATACATGTAGCTAAGTCTAAAAGTATGTCTGAAGGTAATGATGTAATTTTATACACTTATGGACATAACCGATAACAGAAACAAGCCAGTAAACTGTCCTGACTATACCACACCTGATCCAGTCTTTAGAGGTGGCGTTAAACCCGGTCTGGTGAACAGTCCTGTGTTCGCACGAAATCAGTCTTCTCCTGTGGAAAACCAGACACAATAGAACAGGGATTAATCCATGGTTTTATTTATTAATTAGTCAACAAGGTGCTAGCTATATATAGGGGGCCCAAACTAATGTCACTTCTTCCCTAGCCCAGGAGCTATCTACCATTCGTGACCCTAGCATGTCTAGATCACGAGATATCTAAACCGTACTTAGAAAAGCCGCTAGGGGACCCAAAATCTAATCATTTCTAGGTCTCATGAAGACCTACCCACCTACCAAGTTAAAAAGAAGCTTAAGTTATCGTGCTAAACCACACACACACACACACACACAAACACACACACACACACACACACACACACACACATACATACATACGCATATACATTACATACATATACACACACACAAACGCTACTGAAAACATAACCTTCTTGGCAAAGGTAAAAATGTAACAGTAAACATAATTATTATTACTCCTGCCTTTAGGTATCTAAGCCAATAGTGAGAAAGTCAACAAGTACAAGGGCAAGTAGTCACCAAATTTACACAAGCCGACCTTGCTGCCGACCTATAACTACTCCCAATCTAGTCTCCACCAGACTCCTTTGCGGGCTGAATAAATAGTAGAAATCGGCCTAAAAAGAATGTAGCTGGCCAGGGGAGTTGGCAGGCAAACTGGACCCTCAATGTTTGCCTTGAGTGACCTTGTGCAGAGGGCTTAAGGATCCTTAAGGCAAGCCAGGGGAGTTGGTCGACAATAGAGGGTCCAGTACAGTTTGCCTCTAAGCAGGCACACCGAAGGGCACGGTCACATTTCTAAGCCGGGGCTCGGTCGGGTTGTTTGCGTGAACGAAAAATAAACAATTTGTGCTCATGGTTAATTTTCTAAAACTTTTTTTTGTGCTTTGCTATCTTATATCATAATTTATGTTCTATACGACTCCCGGCTGGGCCCCGGGTTGGAAATGTGACCTCGCCTTAACAGTCTGTTACCAGGGTACTATTAGGTGTTAGTACTGTGAAAAGAGAAGTTGTTCCGCTACGCAAGGCGATATACTAGTCTCTACCAGACTAACTACGCAGGCTATATATAGGAGAATATTTGCCGGGGGAGTTTGGCCGCCTTGTAGGTTTGACTGGCCGCGCAGGAAAGAAACTACCTCCACGCTGCCGAACTCCCCTGGCCAATTTCACTCTCTTTTTTGCCGAATTCTACGATCCGTATTCCCGTAGGAAGGCCTGGTGGAGGCTAGCAATATACGGTAGCACCCAATGATTGTCTTAAGTGACCTGGCGCAGAGGGCTCTTAAGAATAACCTTTTTAGCTTGACGTGCCGAAATGTTAAACTGCCTTTTCATTTGTCTCTAAACATTGACAGAAGCCTAATAAGTAATGAATTTGTATACTAGTCGCCAGGACTCCTTTGCAAGAGTAAAACACACCCATTATATTAAGTATTCTGCGGGGCCCACATATATGTGGGTTGCACATATAGTACCATCTATATAGCACCCTGTATATGTAAAATTTTGGGGTATTTCTCGTGCAAAGCATCACACCGCAGTGAAATGTAACGAATGCAGAAGTAAGTACGCCACCGCAGGGCAAAAAAAAAGTCATGTGTCTGTGACCTGATTAAGACATCAAATTATTTGAAAATATTGTGTACAAGCAGGACAAGGGTTAATCACAAACGCAGGGAAGGATTTTAAACATACCTTAGAAATTAAATTCAGAAGCAAGTTTGAACTGTAATGTATAACATTTCCAAGTGCAAGTGATAATTCTTTGACAAAGACTAGAGTTGTACAGTCGAAACTCTTGGTAAGTCCATCCAATTTCTTGTTGTTGGAAATCACAGTTTACGCTTCCTTTATAATGACTTCTACCAACTCAGATGAACTTCCAAGATACCTTAAGAATGCCTTGATACATATTTAAGATTGGTTAGAACAATACTATAAACTCTGGGGACAACTTTTGCCAGCTACCTTACATAAGCTGTATGTAAGGTAGCTCAAAGTACACCAATGAGTATTTCTTTCTGTAACTATTAACTATTTCTTTGCTCATTTTAATCGTACCTTTTCTTCCCTGTCGAATAGAGAAAAACAACGGTATCTACTCACCACCCAATCACTCTCATGTAGTCCCATTGCGAAAGGTGGAATAAAACTAAAGTTGTGGCCGTCACCGTGAAACACAGGGTCGCTAACACGTACAAAATGCACCGTTTCCTCCTCAGAGCCATTTTGAGGATCTCATAGGAGGTTTTCGGAACACATGATGTTGATTTTTAGCAACGTTTCCTCATCTGTCACAATGGATGGCATTGGGCTAAAAGAACACGTAAAACCCCATTCACGAAGTTAAGTTCTGGGTTTCTTTCAACACAATTAAGATACAGCTTTCTACCTGGTAACGGCATTTGCTAACAAAATAACACAACGCTAAGTGCAAGAGAATGAACAGTGTGTGTTTTGGGCTTTGTTGCTTTTGCTAGCAAACGGTGACAGGTAAAGAAAACCTGTACCCTAAGGGCTAAACAAACTTCTCGTTCCCTTATTTCAAATCATATGCTTAAGAAAACTGGACTAAAATTCCGTTTGGAAAATTGGACATTCTTTCAAAAGAGGCACACTGCACGAAAAGTTGGATTTACCAAAGGTTGTAAACTCATGTAATGTTTACTATGTACATGTACATGTACATAGTAGCTGGCTTTACAATCGTAGTAAATAAAGGTCAATTGCAGTAATTCCCTTTATAACTGGTATTACCTACTTGACCTTCATTTACTACCATTGTAAGAAGTTCGTGTGTTTATTAAAAAACAAAGTAAACATTACACAACTATACAGGTATCGGTAAATCTAAGTTTTCGTGCAGTGGCATTTATCGGCCCATGCTTTGTCATCCCAACGCTACCCAGAACCATGGAGGTACAATTTAAACCTCTTGAAAGATTGTTCCTCCATGCCAGAACATGCCCTTCTGGCCAAAGGTTGAAAAAAAAGATAGCCACCTGCCCTAACGTTCGTGTTTGTGACGTCTGCTGTGCAACTGGTTATAACTGATACAGGTCTGGTAAGGCCATGTTGATTTGATTATATGGATGATGTTGATTTGATTATTGGCCATGTTGATTTGATTATATACATTTTCGTCTTTTTCATTTGATTTTGGCATTCTACGACATTGAGTTTCCTGATATTCCTTTTGCAACTTACGGTATATATTTGCTCATTTTGCAACTGTTTGTATGATTTACAGTATGGTTGAAACCTTTTTTTTTTAGAAACGGCCCAAAATTCATGCCGCGCTCGGATGTCAGACATATAATCAAATCAACATGGCCTATGGGGGCAATGTACAATGTACATGTTTGCAAGATCCCACGGTGCCACGTAAAAAGTTATTTAAAGAAGATTAACTTGCAATCGCTCTGGGTCCCAGTCTGGCTAATTTTTAATTCGTAGCCAGCTCTCAAAATTTAGCGTAGAGCGTTGTCGGGACACCTACCCCCCCCCCCCATGCAGGCCCCCTTAGTAGTATACCCCAAATAACCCCAACTGAGGCAAAGTAGGGCCACGGGTTAGGGTCAGCAGGCCTGTAGCCTTGATCATGTGTGTGTAAGAACTATAGGAGACATGGTATAACTCAGGTTACAGTGTGAAAAATACATGTGATGGTAGACCACTGCAGTACATTTATCATCCGCAAGAGGCGCTTCTGAAACAGGCCTGGAAACATCAAAGGCCAGACCGCCACTCAACTTCAGATAAGAGTGTGTGACGTCAGCGCAACCTTAAGTACCGATCAATCTCGCGAGAGTTCAATATTTTGACGTAACCGTCGGCGAGATCAAAGAAGTCCCCATAGCAACCCCTTGGTTTGCGACGAGTGGCAAAAAAACGAACTTGGTGATCTTTGTGTGTGAAATTTGTGTGCGTATTTGCGTGTAATATTTGATTCCGACGTTCCCAGCTTCTTACAAAGACCGCTTTATGATTTTGTCTATTCGATGGCAAAATAACTAAAACCTTGAGGCACACACACACACATACACACACACACACACACACACACACAACAAATACACACACANACACACACATATATATATATGTATTATATATAATATATATATATATATATATATATATATATATATATATATATATATATATATATATATATATATATAATTTGTTACTGTATTGATGAATAAAAATTAACCGAAACCAACCTTTTTTACGGATGTAATAAAATCATTCTTAAGTAATTAGAATTGTCATGTATTGATCAATAATAAAATAACAAAAAACATACCCTTCTTTGCGGACATAATTAAATCATTGTTAAGTAATTAAAATCTTATGTATTGATGAATACAAAAATAACCGAAAGCATACCATTCTTTGCGAAAGTAAATAAAATCATTAATTAGTAATTAGAATTGTTTTGTATTGATTAATACAAAAATTACAGAAAGCATACCCTTCTTTGCGAAAGTAAATAAAATCATTAATCAGTAATTTGAATTGTAACCGAAAACATAACCTTCTTTGCGGAGGTAAACAATAAAAAAAATCGATATGAACCCCTTAAGTTCGGTTCGGGTCACAACTCTGACCTTTGTGATGACGTGAGTTCTGTAACCAAGCCCCGGCGCTTCCGATTTCTAATTTTACCCTCCCATTCGCTGCCTGCCCTGGTATGCTCCGAGTCATGAAACCCTAGCCTGGGTAACCAGACCGACGAGCTCAGCGCTATCCCTTCGCGCGATCACGATCGGCGCCGAGAGCGTTTGTGGCCGCCAACTAGACCTCAATTCTTCGCTCACTTGGGTCGGCGGCAACAGAAGACTGAGCGTAATACAGGAAGTCAGCGGATACAGGGAAACCAGCTGGAGATAGGTCCGTGGTATAGCTCGCCTTTGCTTGGTAAAGGCCGGGACCGAAAAATTACCGCCAAGCCGACTAAACGGTTCGTACCCAGGCTATGAAACCCTACCCGAGCCGCCAGTCGCTGGGGATTCTTCAAATACAGCGCGTTTAAGGGAATGGCACTCGGCCGACTCACAGCCTTACAGCCCTTCTCACTGCGCTGTTAAACAAGAGTCAGCAGCAGTCGGTCTGTAAACAAGTTCAAAAACTCTCGTCTGGTTCGAATTCAAGATGGCGGCCGCTGCGGGACATGGAGGGCACCACCACGATTTGCCGTCGTCGCCGAATCCGGGTTCCAACTTCCAGGACTTGTCCTGCGCTCGCTTCCAGGAACGGCTGCCCAGGTTCAGCCCGACCGAGGGGTTCCCGCTGGTGAAACCGCCGGAGCCCGTCGCCGCTCCCGCCCCTGCCAAGCAGTCCAAATCGGAACGCCTGAAAAACCGACGTGCCCGGTCCGCTCGCTTCAAGACTCAGCCCATCACCTTCGACGAAATCAAGGAGACAGAAGACGAAGGGCCAGAAGCGAAGGAGGAAGAAGAGCGGGCGAGGAGGGTGCTACAACAGTCGGTGCAGAACTTGAGAGAAAGCGCCAAGAAACTGGACAGAAACATGAAAAAGCGTCACCTGAAGAAGAGAGAAGAACGAGCGAAAACCGAGGTGATCGTGTGTCCGAGGGAGCTACTGGATTCACCACGGAACGGCCTAACGCTGGTGTAAAATATTTTTTACAAGAGAGAGAGAGAAAAAGAGAGAAGACTGTTGTATTTTTCAGACCCGTGAACGTTTTTTGAGGTACGTGCTGCGGTGCAGGGCGAATTTTTCCATGTTAGGGAGAGAGGCAGGACAACAGACAGGCACAGATTCGGAGATTGGGTTCTGGCGAAGGGAAAAAGTGGTCCCCGGTGGCTGTTTTAGCCTCGCGTAGCAGGCTTCGTGGCGGGTGTTTTCGTACTGTGTTGTTTGCCATGTTTTGGTGCACCGGTTGTTTTCACAACAAGCTCACAGTGAGTACTGAATAACCTGTAATAGTGACCACATCTGCTTAAGGCTAATTTTTGCTGGTCACTTAGATTATTATTTTAAATAGCCTGTCTACGTGACCACTTTGAGTCCACTGTGTTCACCATAGACAGGTTCGACTGTATGTGAAAAGTTCATCTGTGTTGGAAGAAGTCATTATGAAGCGGTTTAAACTGATAAAATTTCCAACACAAGGGTTGGACTTACCCAAATTTTCGACTGTACAACTCCAGTCTTCGTCGAGGAATGAGTTTGAACTGAAATTGGGAAAAACGACGCCCGCCGCGAAGCCTGTTCCCGAGGCTAGTATGATTGACGGTAACTTGGCACGCCTGACGGTAACCCGATCCGCTGACAGGGAGCGACCATCGCGCGGGGAACGCCGGGAATTTCTGATGGACAGCAGGGCTGGGAACGAGAAGAGGACCAAATGTGACAGACGGGCCGGCAGAGGCAGCAGGTCAAACTATCGTTTGTTTATCGTTAAACGATCGTTAAGATAATTCAGTTCAAATGATCCGAGAAATCCCCCTCTCACTCCTACAATTGTATGTTTGAGTATCATCGGTACTCATTGTAGAATTGAGATGTGTTGCTTTGGCGGCAAAACTTTTCAACAACGAAATGGAACATATAGAAGATTGTGATGATTGTGCATTCAGACCCTCCTACAGTTGTATCATGTATACTTGAATGTTATACGGTCCTCACTGTGGCATTTTATTATTTTATGTTTATGTGGCAATTTCAAAACTTCTGAATAACGAAATGTGCACCAAGAGATGGTCGTTTAGAATGTGCATTCAGATGATCCTATCCTCTTATTCTTATTTCAATTTAGATGTCATCATACTCATACTCATCAATACAGGATTTTGGCTGCAACTACCATTATGACATGTCATATAATTAATTCTTTCTGTGTGAAGAAATGGTCAGAACAATTGTCTTCGAATGTCGTCCAAAGTCACATTGAATACATTTAAAAGCGGTAAAAAAAGTTTTCAGCATCATTAATTTATAACCAGAGCGTTCCAGCTAATATTTCACCCTGTTTGACAGTCAGTGGCAGATTAATTACCACCTCACCGAATTTGAATTCATCACGAATTGGAAGCAAAACAGCAAAACCAAGAGAATAACATATCATAAATCTATGCCCAACATGTACATGCTGTAACTTTAAATATGAGTTTGACCCCCCCCCCCCCCTCTCAAAAATATTTGAATAAAAGTGATGTGAACTGAACCATCTGCTTTTGATAACCCCCAGAGCAGAATCAGGTCGCGTCGGCCTTTTGGTATTGCCTTAGGGCTCGGTCACAAACGTCTTTCCATCGCAGACTGACAAAATTCTTGAGATAGTCGGGAATGTGTCGTACAAAATTCAGCTGTCTACTAAGGCATACGAAAAAAATGTTGTGTTTCTTGTTTCCCAACTGACTCTAGAAAAAACTGCCGACCCTAGCCTTTTTTTGTGGATCCCAGCAAGGGACACAAGTTTTTCGAGCTGATCGACCTTTTCTATCCAACTTTACCGCCACGGGCCGGTATTAGTTTAGCTCCCAGGGTACCCAAAAGCCCATGATTATGGCATGATATAACTGTTAGGACTGGTACTGCCTCATGTGCTGTGGGTCTGGCATCCAGGCTATTGTTATGACGGCATTGTTATGTCATGAAGTGGGGCCTGCATGCCCTTTTCCGTAAGGCGTAATCAGGCCTTTTTAGTCTTCGTAATCCGTAGGCAGCCTCCCTAAAGTCAACGTAATTTGTAATAGTACATTAGCCGCAAAGCGTAAAGTCGTAATCATTTCTGAGACTTTAACATAATTTGTAATCGGCGGCGAACGAAAATTTTGCGTAATTCTTAATCACTACCCCCATGCAGGCCCTCCTGAAGTTATGACTGCAACTCTGTTTATATCTGACTGCGTCAGTTGTAAGGACCGCTGTTGAGCTGCCAAAATTCCGACTCACTTATAAGTTCACGGACTAATCTATGGAGAATTTACGGCCGTACCAAAGAATACAACCTTCTTTCATCGCCGAAGTTATGGGGGTCTGCAGAATTTTGCTGGACACAGTTATATCACACCCTGGTCTAGGAAATACTTACTATGGATGTTCATTATAACTTAGATGCCTGGCCTGAGACAGAGACGAAGCCCAAACCTTGTACAAATTGTAAAAATAACAGTGGACACAATTGACGAAATGTCTTCGAATTTCAATTATGGACCATTGTTATGCCGAAAAGAAATACGGAACAAATTTTGGGATAAAATCAACATTTTATGGTACCAATCACAATGGAGGATACAAAATTAAGGCAAAATTTGAACCCTTCATGGCCAATCACATTTGATGATACAAAGATGCAGGGATGAGAGAACTTTCTAGCTGACCTATCACAACCATTGTTGGTGTTATGGCAAACAATCTATACAACGTGAGGTACCCAGATATGCACATGTAGTAGTTACAATAAAACAGTAACTGTTGCTTTCTGTTTTTTAATGTCACACTGTGCTATATATGTTGTAAACAAAGTGCCTTTACCGCCTCTGTACTTATAAAGAGCGATGTGTAGTTGTTGTTTTCTCGTAAGGAAATAATATTTTAGCTCACGCCAGGAAAGGAGAAACTATTTAGGGATGATCTACCGAATGACATCGGCATAGATGAAAATAGGTAGAAGTAGAAAATTGTCTGGAACTGCTAATTAAGAGAAATGTTAATTAAGAGAAATGTTAATTAAGAATTATAAGTATACAGAAACCAAAGACACTTTTGTAAATTTTCAAGCAATTCTTACTGTTGAAAAGTATGAAGTATATGAAATGTTATATGTAAGTGTATAAAGACATGTTTTCAATCTTACGCAAGTCTTGAGGGTTTAACTTTTTTATTGCAGATATTTCATAACTATTGATTATGACTTTAGCCTGTTTCAGGAACACGGTCCCAAGACTGAAAAGTTCCTTGAGACGTTGGTGAGAATGAAGTTGATCTTGTTGTGTGGACATGTTGACTGTCTTAACACGGAGTTGTTCCTTGAGACGTAGGTGAGAAGTCTGGCGCGTGCCAGTGAAACCTGCATGGCTCAGCTAAGGCTGGACCTTGGCCTTTGCTCAGGGCGATGTGGTACAAATACAGGCTCGAAACTACATACATGTATGTAAGCGTGTAGGGCTTGAAATCACATACATGACGTGATGTAGACATGCAGAGCTCGAAAATATGACCTGTGTGAGAAAGTAGATTCTGTGTTACTGGCCCGGGCTTTAGGTTTGCTGTAATTTAAAGGTTTAGCCTCTAGCAGGTTTCGGGAGCACGTACTCTCTAGCGGACCAACTCCCCCGGCATGCTATCTCTCTATTTGGCCGATTTCTACTCTTCACAGCCGCCTCCCGAAGCCTGGTAGAGGCTAGATTCCAGCCGCCTCCCGAAGCCTGGTAGAGGCTAGATTCCAGCCGCCTCCCGAAGCCTGGTAGAGGCTAGTAAAGGCTGTGATGGTACCCGCCCCCGGTCGGAACCCGCGCCTCTCCCGGAGCAAACTCGCACATCAATCACCCGGGCCAGACGGCTGCCCGTACGTGTAGACAAAAGCGCTACTGTGGGGACAAAAGGGCGACGCAAATATTAAACACTGTTTACTTATAAATTACGGTTACTAACTCAAGGCGACGTTTCATTCGCCTTTTAATTTTGTTTTTGGCAGCGAAGCTATGTATGTTGCAAAAATCGGCTGCAACAAGGCAGCTGGATATCATGAGACACATCCACGAATGGCAAGAGAATTTGTACGATCGGTGTTTTGTACAACAGACTACGTGTGTTACAAAAGCACTGTTGTGGTTACAACGGGGCGACACAAATATTGTCGCTGTTTGCTTAAATTTAGTGCTACTTAAAGGCTTCGCTATTGTTAAGTCGTTACGTAACGCAGGGTGGGGGAACATTTGCCGGGCGATTTTACCTCCGTGAATGGAGGTATTGTTTTGGGTCTAGATCTTTGTGTGTGTATGCGTGTGTCACTGTATGTGTGTGTGTGTGTGTGTGTGTGTGTGTGTGTGTGTGTGTGTGTGTATGTGTTACTGTCTTTTGCCACCCTAGGATCTGCTTGGACATTAGGTTGGCCCGACATTATGAGAGACAGACAGGGAGCATAGTCCGTCGTCAGGCCGTGTGTTAACAGTAATGCTAACAGTAAAGTGTTATACCAACAAACCGCCCGGAACTAGGCCCACGGCCAGACACTAATCGGGTCTGTACGTGAGCTACTAAAACGCGACTTTAAATTTGGAAAGGCAGTGAGACCGTGAAATTTTAAAGATGTAATCAACCTTGATACCTTGGATTGGACCTCTACGCCTATTCATTGTTCTCACACACACGCGCGTACGCACACTCACACACACACACACACACACATACATACACAATGTCATACACACGTACACACACACACACACGCACACAAACAAACAAACACACACACACACATAATCTGATCTTCCGGTAGGGGAAAGACATGTAAATTGGCCAGCCTGTGTGACTAACATGATTTTACAGTTGATATTATGAGATCTGAGAAAACGACCACGTAGAATTAAGAGTTGTTTGACGTTTTCAGATAGTGTTGAAATTGAATTTATGTCCCAGAAAACGACCCTCTGCTAGCCTATAATCGGCCAAATAGAGAGATAACATGCCAGGAGAGTTGGTCCGCTGGAGAGAACAGTTTGCCTCTCCCAACCTGCAGCTGTTCTCTCCAGCAGACCAACTCCCCTGGCATGTTATCTCTCTATTTGGCCGATTTCTACTCTTACCAGCCGCATTCCGAAGCCTGGTAGAGGCTACACATTAATAACTAGGAGTATTTTCAGTTGAAACAACCCTCTGCAACAGAAGCTGGCTCGGAGCAGGCTGGACTCTATCACCGTTCATGCGGTTTGTCATTAATGGCCGTGCTTACGGACCTTCACACGGGACAGGGTCTGTAACTCATGAGGACGGATTCTTGTGAGTTATACGATGTTTACATTGGCGAGACTATGACGTAGTTATTACTTTGATGTCGTGATCCGGTCTAGTGGCATTCGTCGCGCAATAGAGAGAGACAGGCGGGGAAAGAGGGAGGGAAAAGAGAAAGGAAGAAAGGCAGGAAGAAAGAGCGAGAGAGAGAGGCAGGGAGGGAAAGAAAGGGGGGAGAGTACAAGAGAGACAGGAAGAAAGAGAGAGAAACTAGAACGAAAAGAGGGATGGAGGAAGAAAGAGAAAAAGAAATAGAGACAGGGAGGGGGGCAGGGAGAAAGAAAGGGAGAAAGAGAGAATGAGAGAGGGACAGGCAGGAAGAAAGAGAGGGAGAAGAAGAGAAAAGGGTAGAGACAGAGATTAATACGCCAGATCAGAGCAAAATGTAGATCCGACCCATGACGCCATAAGGTGGTTTCTATCAAAGCTAACCGGTCCTGACACATGACGCTGATGATGGCGTGAGTTTGCCATGGACACCTTCCAGACTCTCACTTATAAGTTACAACAATTACTTTGGGATGTAAATGTGATGGTTTCTGTCAGCGCTGACCGTTTCTGACGTGGAGTGTAGGGTGCGTGGGTGGGGGGACACGGTCCAGACGTTCCATGTCGACTTTAAGACATGTGCGAAGCTTTTGCCGATGAAAAAGTGTTTTCGATGCCTTCTAAATGCTTATTTATTTGTATGTGTGTGTATGAACTTCATAGGAAGTGGATAGATTTGTACGATATTTTGGAATGGGTATGCCGATGGGACTATTATAGTTGGCGCAGGTGAAGAATTAAAGGTAATTTTATTGTCTGTATGATCCACTGTGTCTAGGGCCTCTCCTTCCACCGCCTTTTACCTCCCCAACCGAAGTCAGGTACCAATTTTTACACCTGGGTGGAGTGAGGAAAGCCATGTAAAGTGCCTTTCCCAAGGACACAACGTCTCGCCAGGAATACTAGGAATCGAACCCGCAAACTAGCAAATCTCGTGAGCTAGCCTAACCACTCTGCTATTCGACGCCACTACATCATAGGCTAAAGTAAGATACCCGAAAAACATTATCATGAGGGTCAGGATCGAATATGGGCCAATCAAAGAAACAAAAAATCGGAGAGTTGTGTCGAACACCACGGCCATTCACAGCAGGATAAACATTTAACGACGTCGCTTCCAGAAGGACTTTCAGTCGTTAAGAAGCCTTAAGACAGATTCTTGTCTTTAAGTCGTAAAGCAGGATCTTAAGGTCCCTGTGTCATGGCCAAACAAGGAAGGCACTACTTCTCCAAGCAACTTGAAGGAAAGACGTTCATGTTTGAGGAGCTCTTAAGAAGGCGTTGGGCTAATGGTGTTTGCGTTGCTCTTAGCCAGACCATCGTATAGGCCGGTATTTCTTACTCTCCAAGCAGAGGTTTGGGTTTTGGGGGTATTTTTAGCGTGTTTTTAGGCTTTTTTATCGGGGTTTCTCTTTTGCACTGAATTGGTTTGGTGGGAAAAAAAATTCAGTGCAAAAGAGAAACCCCGATAAAAAAGCCTAAAAACACACTAAAAATACCCCCAAAACCCAAACCTCTGCTTGGAGAGTAGGTATTTCTACGGTGGTAAGGGTGCTGCCCGGCCCAGAACTATTAACGCACGTAGCGCAGAGTTACCGGCATCTCCAAGAAGATCTTTTGATGGCCGCTAGACAGTACAAAAAGAGGCAAATTTGCAAAACAGAACAATTGTCAATCTCTCTCTCCCCCCCTCT